TGACTGCCAGTAGCACACGCAAAGTCCTGTTATCATCTGAGCAATAGATTTGAGAGTAGTAAATCAGGCCCCAGGTAGAAACTGTCACTCTATAAACTAAACAAAAAGAGGCTTTTACTTGTTTACATTTTAAAACAAACTGAGATGTCTCTGAGCTCTCTGGTAGTTTTGTGTGCACAAACCCAAGCAATCAGGAATAATTTAAAGTAAAAAAAAAGCTTAGAAGACTGTTTGGAAAAAAATATAAACAAAATAAAAACAAAAAATGTTCAATAAATGTGTTTGGCGCTTTCACTGTCAATCTGAGCAACAACAACAAAACCTGAACTTTTTAGATCTGTTAAAAATAATAAATGATTATTTTCTCTGGTAGAATTTCAGAAGTCACAATGAATCTGGAYTGATGAATCCAGCTTCCAATAAAATGAAAAAGGAAAAAAAAATGTGTGTACTAAACCAAACAGCAATACATCAAATCTTAGTGCCAATTTGAAACTTGAAGAACATCTTGTCAGGTTTTATAAAAGGATTTTTCACAGGAAACAATTTTTTGTTATCTCCGCATTTTGCTACGTTGTCAAAAATTTATCTTTGTGCTTTTTTGATTGTAGTGAGGATAATGTGTTTTACATTTAGTGTTTGGTTTTAAAATGCTAAATGATCTTTATTTTTGCTAAAGGTGAATGAAGTTTAATATATATTTTGCATGTAATCGTTGACCTTTTTATCCACATGGATAACAAACAAATACACAGTGCTTTGGTGTGGGTTTTTGCTATTAATGAGGCTGAAATATTAACTTGGACTGGGATCAAAGGGAGAGCGTATTTAACGTTAACTAAACCTCATTTTAGTCCTCACACAAGTCAGCAGAGTTGTTATGTGTGAAGCATAATTGACCTAAAAGGCTGAGATGTTAAAAGATTTCATTGATACGGTATTAAGATCAGAGCTGCACTATTTCCAAACTATTTARCATGAATGATTCTGAGCATAGATTAACAGAGGGATTTTACAGGCCTTGAAGTTGMACGCTGTGCCACTTTTATTAATGATTTATTTTACTTTAAAAAATGTAAATAATTTTTTTTATTTTATGACGGGCAGGCAATAATTTCAAAGTTTTATACAGTGGGAGGTCATTTTGYTTTCTACATTCTGTCTTTTGTACAGTAGCTTATTTGTTCTAATAGTTGAAGGAGCTTTGTTCAACTGTCAAAGGTTGATATAAATAATCCCAATTATCAAAGGTCTAGCATTCCTTGAAGGTATGCAGAATGCTTGACACCTATATGTCAAAGATTTTTTTAATTATCTTATGACAGAGTTGTAGTGATTTTGGCCAAAACTTGAAAAGGTGTAATGTCATGAGATCTCACTCAATGTCTTGTGAATGACTCTCAGCTACCACCACATTAAATGTTAGTTTAATATCAATAGAACTGTGTCAAAGCGATTTATGTTCGCTGATATCAAATATTGTGGTGGCCATCTTGAATTGGACTGACTGCAGATGTTATATACTTGTAGATGTGCAGCCATTTTTGTGTTTTTTGAGTCAGCTGGCGGTGGTAGACATCTTGAATTGGGTAGACTCCAAAAGTTAATCCGTTTTTGATCTACATGTGATGACTGTTTTCTGCAAGTTGAAAAATAATGTGTCTAGTTCATGAGATACGTATTTTAATGCCAAACTCAGGGGCAAACATTGCAACAGTTGATACCAATTTGCAAGCAAGAATTTCTGAAACCAATTGTAACACATGACTATTCTTCATACACTGCTGGTATAAAAGAAAACATTGGATGGATGGATGGACGGACGGACGGACGGACGGACGGACGGACAGATAGATAGATAGATGTAAAAACCCCAATAATAACAGAAAAACAGGGGTTCTAAATGACTCAGGTGTGTAAGTAATTTGGACCCAGATTCAAAGACATTTTCATGACATTAAGGACATACTGTAAAGACAGATGAAGCTTTATTTTATGGTTTTCTATTCAAATTAAATGCTCAGATATACTGTGCAGTCTACTCCGCAAAGAGAAAAAAGCCTGCTAATGCATCAAAGGCTTGTTCAGGTATTTATGAAACGTTAAAAAATTATATGTCTCATGAGAAATGCCCCACCATCTGTTTAAGTTATACCACACTGGACTAAACCAAACCCACCAAACTAATAATGTACCCTSAGAGGGAACACATAAAAACAAACTAATATTCGCCATTACTTTGAATTTAAATCAACACTGGAAGCAAGGGTGGTCTGAGTAATGAGGCTGACAATCTGTGCACTAATGTASGATAAGAAAAGTAGGTCAGTCCTCGTCTGGGTAAACTAACTTATTTTTTCAGTGCTTTGGATGCACCAGTAATGGAGAAAATTCTGCCGACAAAAAGTGCAAGATTATCACAAATATCTCAGCGATTAGYTGGGCTTTGTTCTGTGTTTTTAGTGTACCGTGGAGGATAATTTATGCCTTTTTTTTCTTTTTCTTTCTTCTTTTTCTTTTTTTTTTTGTTATTGTTTTGGCAAAGAGAGAGGGATAGATCAGATAGATCACAACTCTTAATAAAAACATTTTAATGGGGTGGATCTTATTACAAAAGTAGGTGAATCACGACGGAAAGCCACTGTCTAATGCAAACATAGTATTTGCAATAAAAAAATAGAGAATAGCACATCCAAAGAGCCAGCTCAGTGCCAGCTTTCAGAAGATATGGCTCTTGGGGAGCAATTTCAGAACTGAGCCAAATGATCCAGATCCCAGAATAGAGTTGTATTTCCCATSTCTAGATGGGAAATCACTTGCCACAAACAAAATTAAGGGAAATTGTGCCTACCTCCAGCATTTACTGGGCAAGTGGTGGTGTACATCCTGAGCAGGTTGTAAGTCCAGCTCGCTGTCCAGCATGCAAGTCTCAGAGAAGGACAACCTTTGTACCCAGGGCCATCCAGCTCCTCAACTCATAGTCCCCCATTTTAATAATATAATTTCAGACAGATTATGTGGAATCGTATTACCTTCACACTACACTATTTATATTTATGTATATTTTCATTTAAAATTTATTCTTCCATTAAATTTTTATGTCATTTGTTGCTCTGTGTTGCCTTTAATTGCCCCTCTGGGATGCATAAAGTTTTCTGAATCTGAATAGAGACAAACAATGGCTCCCATTTAGTGGGTATTTAGAGTTACCAGTGACCCCAACATGCAGACTTTTTGGTCTGTGGGAGGAAACTGGAATACAATGACAAAACCCAAATGCATCATGCAGGAACATAATCAAACTCTGCACAGAAAGACCCCTAGCCAGGAGGCAATCCTCTAACAATCTTGCTGTGAGACAACAGCTCTAACCACTGCTCCACTGTACCAGTTAAATCATATCAAGGAGTCATTGTCCAACTCTGCCACAGTGTGATCAGTGCACCATCTGCATGTGCAGACATAAACACATTGTTGCTGAAACCCAATAAAACACCAACATATTTTTAAGAACTCAGAAACCAGTGCAACTTTACTCAAGAGCCATCTGGGTTACAGAGACATGACAGCAGCAATGGGAGTATTAACTAGGTCACAGCACAAACAGGTCCTTTTTTGTGTGTTTCCATTTGGACMAGCCTGAAGTTTCCCATGCAAACTGGCTTTGGTGCCTAAATCTAGGTCCCAGGAAACAGTAGGAGGAAACAGTTGGATTGTGCATCAAGTAAAAAGTATATTTGTGTATTCCTTAAGGCCTCCAGCCCTGAATCTTGGACAGCTTTACATCAGCAGGGCTGGCCATGCTGCCCAGGCTTCATTCATCTAGAGCCAGTCACATACCGAGCCAAGTACTCCAGAAAATAAAACCATACACACATACACACACACACACATCGCTCCTCTGCTTTATACGAGCTTCAACTTGATATCAGTCTCAGCACCCAAGGCTGCTGTTTATAAATTCTGTTTCTGCCAAGAGCTTTGTATTAGAATAGGCTTATACCGGAAAAGTGAAAAAGACTCGGTGGGTGCCCTCCTTTACACTTGAGGCTAATTTTCTTGGGTTTGAGTAACAATGAACACTTGGGAGATCCCAAACATAATAAATACAAAGCTTTGTTTCATATAGATGTAAGCTAATTCAAATAAAAAATAACAGGATATATCCTGTATATACTGTATATATTGCTGTTGTCCTATGGATATGTTTGGTTTGGTTTTACAGGCTTGTGCAATGACAATCAACACTATTCTATTCTATTGTCTYCGACTTGTGTCTCTGTTGCAACTCAGACAGCAATAACAAAAGGAACATCCTATCACTTAAAAAAACTCTTATATTGTCATCTCTTATCATAACGTCCCTCACGGTGTGTCTACTCTCCAACAAGTCTGCCTCTACTTTTAAGCTCCACCAGAGGAAGAAACAAGTTGTGACAAATCATTCTTTTTTTTTCTAAAGCACATCGAACTAAACTTCTAAGATTCCCTCAAACTATGAGAAAAGGGACAAGAGAATGTTGTCATTTTAACAGTCTTGTTTTCTGCGCCAATTATGTCTCCTTTCCTTCTTTGAACAATCCTGCCACACGCTGTGCACTGCTCAAAGGCTCCACAATGAAACACAGCTGATAGGTTATCCCCTCCCTGCACAAACTGTTGGCATTACACAGAACATTGCGATCACAATGTGGTAAAATAAGGACCAAAAAAACGACGCAGACAGCGCCGCTTGAGTGAGTCCAAGAAGACTCCGAGCATCTGCCGACTCAGACAAATAAAATGTGGAGTAATTATGAGCGCAGGCTCCCCTGGAGYTGTCAGCACCCCTGGTAATGTTCTGACACCGAGAGGTGTGGCGCAGCGTGGATTTGCTCTCACTAATTAACGGAACAAAGGGCGTGCGCACGTGTGCGGCGCACAGCCAAGGGTGCGTGGGGGTGGGAGAGATACGTGTGAAGTTGGAGCTGCGTGATCATGAAGAAATCACTGTCATTTACCTCGGAACAGGAAGGCTTTGCTGCCGTTGTGAAGCCCTCCCACTTGGGTAATTCCGTAGGTGGCATTCGCCAGGTCAAGTTCACTGATGATATCGAGCTGGTAGTCTTGATCTGATCCGAAACCAAAAGCTGGAGGAGACAGAATGCGATAGGATAGAAGCTTATATAGAATATTTTAATTATGCATTTTAAAAACAGGCATCATAAGGTTTTCTTGTGGAGGTCGCTGCGCAGTTATTTTAACGCACTAATTTGCTACTCCTTCACTTTAGAAAAAAAGAAAGTGTCGCATCTCCTGCCCGCAGGCATCACCTGTACTCTCCACGGACATATCTAATGTGCAGGCACAATGTTTAATATTTTATATTTTAACAGTTTTATTAAAACCACTCACGATCACAAAAATCACAAATTGGATCTGCTCTGTAAAGATTTTACAGGACATTTTCAACTTGCCAACGCGCAAACGTGGACTTTAAACGGGGTTACAAAATGTCAAAAAAGCTCAAGTTCTACGAAGATTTTTCAATCTYACCTGGTTTGGCAAAAAAGAAAAACGACACCAAGGCCACGTAAATATCCATTTGGGGGTTGTAGAGTTGCGCTGTAGGGAGTCCGGGAAGTCGCGCGCTCTGCCGCGTACCAACACCAAGCAACCAACTCTGGTCCGTCTGGTGCTGTGCGCTGCTCACACCTCGTCTGGATGTGGAGGAGCGAAAGGAATGGTCCACGACGCGCGCGGAKGAGGGGGGTGGTGGTTCCCGAACTGCAGAACCACGTCTGATTTTAAACGCCTCTGATCGACCTCGGTGTGGCGTTTACAGTTCCAGATTTGGAGATATTAAAGAAAAATTATAATAATAAAATAAAACTTAGGGGGAAATGTTGAGGGAAAACAAATCCGACCATCAAGATGTGAAATCTTCCCCCCCGAGTCAGAAAACAGAAACTTCCAGTTCTGGAGGTGAGAAAGGCGTTTTCAAAGAAAAGTGGAGAACTCTTCACTAACTGATATGTGTTGCTTTTATTGGTCATACAAATAAACATCTGATTTCCCCACTCTTTTCCATCTCATAAAGTAACAACTGATCCATTTTAACACATTAAAAAAAGTATTGAACTTTTTAAATGTATCAAAGCTTGCAGAATTTAATAAAAATTGGTTAATTTATAAAGCCTGCATTTAACCCGCTGCTGAATGTGTGTGTGTGTGTGAGAGAGAGTATGTATAACTTCATGTTTTCTCACTCTGCATCCTCCCCTCATCACATCCCTCAGCTCCTAAATTGGCCACTTTTCCCTTCACCTCATCCTTGTGTCAGGAAAGCCCTGAGAGTTTTAAGCACTGCTGCTTCAGCCCCCGGCCCCCACCCGCCTGGCTCCCCGTGTGGCCTGCCCTTATTGAGAACCATTAATCATACTCTTCCCCTCTCTGCCTCTAATTTGTGTACATTGTCAGGTTGTCTGGGTTACCTGCATCCACACAAGCAGCAAAGAGTGGAGCAGTGGCGTCTGCTTGGTGATTATGGCAGTTTGCACGATATGCACCACCCGCTCCACCTGTGAAAGTGGGTTTTACACCAGGGATGGTGTAATGTCTGCTTTGGGAGGCAGGTCACTGCTCCAGACTCTCAAATTCGACTGTAAACAGCAGCAGCTTTCAGAAAAAAAATTAATAGATTTAGCGTAAAGCAGGAAAAAATTATTTGAAGAGAAGGAAATTTGAAACGAGAGCTTGCTGATTAACTGAAAAGGATGATTAAATGAGCAGGTTGTTAGATTTAAAGACTGCAGCATTCAGTTTTTTGTCTTTCAGGTGTTTAGAAAATGGAAACATTCTAATAAAGTGCTCCAAGTTATCTGACTCATTTACTCTTTTGTTTTCTTTTCATAAAGCAAACAATTGCAGGAAATTAAATCAGAATCATGAGCTCAGTCTCAATTCTCTCATTGTCTGTTGTCTTTTCAAACAATAGAAAACCGAGCTGACATTTCAACCCGCAGACCACCTGATCAAATCAAGACCTTTACCCATTTGTTAAAATAGGTTAGCATTGGCTTACATTTTTCTCTGTTCACATGTAAAAAATATTTGTAGATTTTAGAGAATTAATCCTTTGAATAGTAAAGGTCATTACTTTGCTTTACACTACAAGGCATATGTTTGATATTTTGGCATTTTTGTTTTTTAGAACTGGCTAAAATCATTGACATTCAGACCTTGAAAACTGTTGTTAACCATGGAGAAGGGGTTGTATTTAGACATTTAGAAAACGATTTTATAAATAAAATAAATAAAAACAATTATCACACATACGTATCTGCAGTGATAAATAGTGGCATGAGCCTAAAGTGTTGAATCTATTTAAAGGACACTGCACAAGTGGTGCAAGTAAGTGCCAGAGACACGTATTAGCCTCCTGAAAGTGTTAGAAGATGAAGTGCTCCTGGAAATCTGAGTCTTCACAAGATTTTTAGAGGTAGAGAAGGGATGCTTCTACTCAGAAACGGTCTTGTTCGTATGCAAAATTAGACAACATTCCTTTAAAAGAAGCATGAGCATGTTTTTGGGTGAGACTACAAATAGACACTTCACCATGACAGACTGAAGTAATGCCCTCATTGATCTGGACGAAGACCTGATCCATTGATCGAACTCCCCTACCATCACTTGTGAACAGGACTCCAAGGTACTTAAATGCCTATACTTATGGGACAGAGACTCCTTAGATGATTCACTTTGGTCATCTAAAGCTTGGGACAACATACATAAACAACACATACAAACTAAAACCATCTAAATGCTTTTCTTGGTACAAAACTGGTAATTATAGCAAAGAATGAGATGTGTGAGTCCATCTCATGCATTCTTCAGATTGTTCACACAGTTGACTGTAATATTGTTATGAGATGTCTTCATCTTCTCTTGGAAATTGAAACCAGTTTTTTGGTGCTGCCATGTTGTATTTTTGGAACCAGAGGCTGTGGGGTCTTAAGTTCCGCCTACTCACCTTCACACAGTTAGACACAAAATATCTAAACAAAGCTCAACCCTATTAAAGATCTAATACTTGACAATGCAGCAAGATAAAAACTACATGAATCAACGAGAGTCAACACCAGAAAATATTGCCTTATGCCAGGGGTACTCAAATATAAATACTGAAAATCCACAAAGACACATTTCAAGTAGTCTAAAGGTCAGTTTATTATTATCATTCCAGCTACAAGCCAGAAAACTCTCATATTCAAAGCAAAATGTTTTCTTCAAAACAACAGAAATACATAATGAAATTTAATTTATTTTTTTAAATACCCTAACAATAAAAATCAATAACAAATGTGATAAGGGGTTTAGAAAATGTTTTGTTTCAAATATGAATAC